TAATCAAGAAATCAATAAACAGGAGAAGTATCAGATCCTTGGGCTTGCAGGGCTGGAGAGCAGGACAGGAGTCTCAGTTTATGAGGTAGAAGCAGTTGGAAAGTTTGGATAAGTGCTGAGGAAGGAGACCCAGAAGACTAGAAAGTCAAGTTTCACCTATTTGTCAAATTTTACTAGTAATTCATTATGTGTGCTCATCTGTCTCCTCCTCTAGTTTATGAACTCTTTGAATAAATTACTATAAAACACCTAGCATGGTGCCTCTCTGGTGCAAATGCTAAGCAGTAAATCATTCTTGCTCAGATTAACTTTTAGTTGCAAATGGGTGAAGAACTATTGTATACAAAACGCATTTTTGCTTTTCCTCTTTAAGCAGACATTATTGGAACTCTAGCCTTCTTGGAGCTCTGGAGCATCAGAGTGCCCACCTAGGCTTGTTTGTGCCCACACAACCAAAATCAAAAGTTCTTACTCATTCTTCCAGGAGATGGCAAATAAGGAAAATGAATTCTTAAAGATACCAGCTCAAAATTATCTTAATCCTAAAACTATGAGGCTAGAACTTTTGGTTGTTTCTCCTACTCAAATTATACTTTCAGATCGTGCAGTGTTTTAGGTTCATTATCATTAATTTTGACTTTCTGATTATTTTATACCAGATTTTTCCTTTTACAAAGTGAAAAGCAGGGTCTACCACATAGTGGTAGCACAGTACCAGGGAAATAGCTGGTGTTCAATACAATTTTGTTGAATGAAAAAAAAATGAACAAATGAATGAAAGACTGAGAAGATCTCCCAAAATTCAGAGTCAAAATGAGAAAAAGTCACATTGTGTGGACTGAACCAATATGTCCATAAAACTTAGTGAAAATTAAAATATTATTTAATTTCAATTTTATCTTAAAGTTAATTGAAATTTATTGAAACTAATCAAGTAAATTTTGTTCTCTTTTGATATTTGGGTTTGACAGAAGGAAAATTTCTGTTATCCTGACAAGACTGATAATTACCCTTTATTCCAAATTATTTTTACTGATAGTTTCTGGTTTTGTTTTGTAAATAATTATCTAGTCTTCTAGGATTATCTACATTCAAATACCACCCCTCTTAAACTATAAAACAATGACTAGATACTCAAAATAATCCAGCAATATCTGGTATTTAAAACATATCCTGAATTTCTTTGAGAAACTTAGCTAAGAATCCATCCATCTCCTCCTGTGTCATCATAAGTGGGTAAAGCTAATGACACAGAATTACAGTATAACAGACTCTGGTTGCTTCAGACCATTTCAGTGGGTGTGGCTGTTGTCTCTTGAAGAGTTTGTCTAGTACCATTAAGGCATTTGAAACCATTAAAACTTCTTGTAACACAATTTTCCAATCCATGACTAAACTTCAAATTACGAGACCTCTGTCTTTTAGGCAATCTCTCACTAGCTTTCTCCTAGAATGAGTATCTGATTCATTCTAAATAAGATAAATTACAGATTTTTTTTTTCTTGGTGGATAATGACCTGTTGGGTTAAGATGTTGTGCTTTGTTTTGCAGAAGGAATGCTGTTGATTCCAGTCATCACCTTGGATCAGAATGCGTCATATTTTGTGGCATTCATGCAAAAGGACTTAATGAGCAGCTCTCCTCTGTACACTGTGGAGGTCTCACTGCCATGCAGAAAACGACAATTTCCCTAAACAGGAATTTTCTATTCCACAACAGCTGGCCTAACTCTATTTATGTATTGCATCTCAAAAGCTTAGCAAGTAACAAATTCATATTTTTTCCATTCTGAAGCATTTTACCTTCTGATCTGAATTTCACAACTTGTCTTGATTAATGCTGATATGCTGAACACTGTTGCCATTAAGTCATATATCTTGCAAGAAGCCAATTGAAGTAATAATTCATATATCTCCTAGAGAAAAGTTTTTGAAAACAGTGCAATACTTAGATAAATTAATCTTGTGTGATATCCTAATGTTTCAAATGCTGGTTTTCCATATGGATGTTCTTGTCTAGGATTTTTATTTTTTCTGTTATGTTAATCTAATGAAAACAAGTTTCTTGCTTTAAAAATGCTTATGAGTAGCTGGGTGCAGTGGCACAAGCCTATAATCTCAGTGGCTTGGGAGGCTGAGGTAGGAGGATCATGAATTCAATGTCAGTTTCAGCAAAAGTGAGGCACGAAGCAATTCATTGAGACCCTGTCTCTAAATAAAATACAAAATAGGGCTGGGGATGTGGCTTAGTGGCTGAGTGCTCCTGAGTTCAATCCCCAGTACCCCTCACCAAAATAAATAAATAAATATAAATGCTTATGAATAAATATAGATGAAGTTGTTAGGCATGCCGATTATTAGTGTTTAGAACAAAATTTTATAAAATATCCTTCATTATCTAAAAGCAATTTTCACTATTGTAGTTTTCCATTTGCTGAAAAATATAAATAATATGTAACAAAATGTACTAATATCTGTATGCTAACCTTAGCTAGTACTCTGAGCACATACCCCAATATCTGACATTTAGTTAATGTTCAACAATGTCAACCAAATGAGTTTCAGAAGTTTTTGCTGGTGAAAGAGACTTCTTTGACTCATCCACTAGGTGGCGAACAGGGACCGTGCTTCACATCTTCCACCATGACAAACCCTCCTATTCACAGTGTAAATAAAGAGCTGCATTATTAATTTATACCATCCCATCCTCTCTACACCTAATATTTGTTTAACCAGCTGTTTCCTTTAATCCTCCTTAAACACTATTGATTAAAATCCCAAATATATTCAGGTCTCCACTGCTCCCTACTTGGCCCAATAACATTTGTTAGCTTTAAATGACAGGCTAAGTACATTTAAATGACATAGACTAAGTACTATGGTTACTAATAATGACTGCAGAATGTTGGAAAATTAATTAGAAGCAATAGAAGACTCTAATATGAAAATTATTCTCAAATTTGCCTTACATTTTGTTGGAATTTTAATTGGTGGGATACCATTTCTCTTAAAAAGATAGTCTAGAAAATAAAATGTACATGGGGCAAAAGGAAATGAAAACTAGTATTTTCTGAAGAAGGGAGTAATTTTCTGAATATGATTCTTGTTCATCTTTACAAAGATGAAGTGCAGTGCTACCTTCATGGGCTCAGAAATGGCTACTCTTCCACACCTCCAATGGTGAAAGGCATGACTGTTCAGTAGACAGCCTACTAATAAAGTATTTTTCTACTTAGCTCTGAATGTGTTTATCCTGGATGTGTTACTTGTTCCCAAAGAAGGAAAATGAAGTGAAACCACTAGGGATATAACACGTTGATTCTTCTCTGTGAAAGTTACTTCAGTACATTTAAATTATAATGTCAGTCATTCCTCTGAGAGACAGGGCCTTGTTGAAAATAAATGGTTCCCTTTATAAGAACATGATGTTTCCCCCTGTCTTGTATCTTTTTGAAAGCCAGGGCCTACTGGGAACTTCTGTTTATAATACTGGTCTCTTGGGTACATTCCTTCTGTGGACCAGGGGTCTCTTGAGGTTGTTGGTTTTCTGCTAATCATTTAATTAGCTCTAAGTGAAATTACTTCTTATCTAGTTTTTCTGAGCTATTTCTAATTTAATCGAGAGGTCATCAAAAAGATAACTGGTTTACCCAGCTGAAACACAATTTTAATAATAGATATCAAAGAGTGACTAAATAATAAAGCTTAAATGTCCAGTATTCCTTTGACAGACATTCCATATCATTGAATGAAAGGGAAATTTTCTTTCATTCATACACATAAATGAAACTGAAGTTTAAAAACGGATGTAAGGATTAAGAACTATCTCCTTAGAAGTTATCCAGAGAGAACTACAATGATATATTTTTGGTAGACAATATACCCATTTTGAGATTCCATTAAAATATCGAAGTCACTGAAATGTGTGTAAAATTACTGCTAATTTAGGACACTGAAATAACGAAATTGAAATGCTTACCAGAAACTACATTTGCAATGAATAGCCATTACATTTCCTTAGAAATTAATTTACAGACTTTATTTTTTAAGAACCTCTAGCGTCCAAAAGCCCAGCCAGTATATTTGATTTTATGACATCACACTGGAACATGTACAGGAACACTTTCCACCCTAAAAATTCCCAAATGTACTGGCCACTGTGTGTATTTTTCCAGTGATAAATGAAAATAAAATAACTTATTTTCAAAATAACAAATGATCTTATTTTTAACACAAGTCATATTCAATGGAAGAAAACAAATACAACTAATCCCCCAAACCTTCAGGTTTATCTTCAATGGTGAATAACCTCAATATAAATAATTTCTCTAAGTAAATTTAAAAATAATCTTAATAACTATGATTTTAAAATTTTTGGCATATAGAAATTACCTAGCAACATTGCTGTATGTATAAAATGCATCATGACTCTCTGGTCTTCATTTTATAATTAGCTGGAGAAGACTAGACCAAAGATGATAAAATTTTTAAAAATTATTAATCTAACAGGTATTATCTATGACTTAAATATCTTTCCAATTTTCATCAATCTATATAGTCCCTACAACAAAACTCATAAATCTGGGATGGGCATTCCCATGCCTCCACTCTTCTTTCAGCCTATACCATCCTTTTCTCATCTCAGGTGCTATAAAAATGCTTACTGAAATACAGATGGAAAAGTCACCACCTGGAAACCATGAGCCTACCAGCTTTATAGTAGCACTATCAAAAACTAGGAAAACTAGAGTTAATTTTCCCCACTTCCAGATTGATTCCTGTTTGTTACAACAGGATCTTATTTGATAATATGAAGCTTAAAAAAGTTGGGGTGTCATTACACTGAAATGAAAACTGAAGAAAATAATAAAATTCATTGGATATATGTATACATTACATATGCATTGCTCTAGGAAATCTTAAAGGCACCAAGGTATGCCCGAAAAAGGAAAAAAAAAAAAATATATATATATATGTAAACATATACATTGGAAGTTTTACCTTGTCCTGAAATCCAGAGGTTCAGATGCCCTCAAGTCCCACTTAAGTTGGAAGCTGGAGATCAAGTGAAGCTAGCGCTCTTTCTCCTCACCTTAAGTTTGTCTCTGGGCGAGTATGTATGTGTGTGGGTGGGTGCGCGCGCGCGCCCGCGTGTGTGTGCAGAATGTCTCTTTGTGGCGCTGGATGGCAGAGGTCCTGATCCTGGGAAGAAGGAGGCACTTTTTCTCACCAAGAGCAGAAGAAAAGCAAAGCGTCACCAGGAAAGTTCTCCTCCCAGATCCCCTAATTACAGCCTAACGTGCACTTCAGGCAAACTTCAGGGAGGAAGGGAGGGGCAATTCTGTGCCCAGACCTTGTAAAACAGCAGTCTCTTAGATGACTTTCCCCTCTGCTCAGATCCCAGACCATCCCTCTCTGGGGTTAAGGAAAAGCGGCGATCTCAACCACAGGACCCCACCCACACTAACACTTCATTCCTTGATCTGTCCAGAGGGGATGGAGGAAGGGTCTGTGGAATGGTCTGTGAGGCAGCTGGGTGAGACAGACCCCCCACACACTTATCGCCTTGTTTTTATAGTCCCTGCTTAAACAGAAGATCCAATGGTAGAAGAGGTTCTTCCTTAACAAATAGACAACTGTGATAACAGCACATAAAACTTCCTTAACTTCCTAAACTTTTGCCCAAATCGCCTGTAGCATATTTTTTGTTTGATGGGCTCAGTATCAATATTGGTTTCAAATTTCTGTTAACAAACAACTGCTATTGTATCCCTAAATGACAGTGCCCAAAGAACCTGGATTTATTTATAGAGTGAGGAATGCAAGGGGAGACGGGATGGGTGGAGTTGGGTTATGGATCCATACTCAGGATTAGAACCAGATGGGGACAGGGCGCGCAAGCTCGCGCGCTTACACACACACACACACACACACACACACACCCCTAAATAACCAGTAGGGAAGATGCCGGGACACGAAAAAAAACGCCTCCTGGACAAATAGACATTTATTTATAACTTGAGGGAGAGTATATAGGTCCATTGATTCCCGCCTTGAGTAACCAAGGGTTTTGGAGAGGAAATGGCTTCATATTTCAATAACAGAGCAACCTTTGATGGAGCCTAGGAAAGGGAAAAAAAGAAACACACCGCAGGAAGCAAAGGGCTGTTGAAGCAGCCGGGAGGAGGGAGCGGGTCTGGCCCGGGGATTGAGGACAAGCAAACAAGCCCGAGGGGCCCGAGCCAGGGAGAAGGCGAGACACAGGCGGCCAGCCTGAGAGTCTGGGGTGCAGCGCGCTGCGGGCGCAGGGCGCTGGGAAGCGTCCAGGGGTGCTTCGCCTCGCCCGGGGGTCTGCCCCGCAGGCGGGGGGAGGTGCGGATAGACTGCAGGCTCCTTCGCACCGCGGCGACTCAGACTGGGGCCAGAGTGGGGAAGAGGACCCATGGCACAAAGGGTCTTATGGGACAGGGGACTAGTGGGCAGAAAAGCTAGGAAGGCGGGGTTGGAGGGACCGCGGTCAGGGGACACTCGTGGGTAAATGAGCTCGTGGTGGGCAGGCGATCGAGATCTGAGCCGTCCCGGTGGCGGAGAGCGGCGCTATTGTCTTAGAGATAAAGCCTAAACAGCAGCGGTCACTGCTTCCTCCTGGCCTCTGGGGAGAGGCGGGAAAAGAAGAGGTAAAAAAGAAAAAGCTTCTTCCCGCCTTTCTCAGAAGTATCCGAGCGGTTCTTGGCTCCAGGTCATTGGATCCTTGAGAAATTAACACGTGCTTATTAGAATTTTTTTTTCTTTTCTTTTCCTTTTCTTATTTTGGATCAAAGACTAGCCACACACATCCCCCATTAGATGAAGATAGTTAAACTGGACCATAACTCTAGTCCTTCAATCAGGAAATTCAACACTTTTCTGAAAATTTCAAAACCTGGGCATAACTCCTTTCCTTTTCCTTTTTTTTTTCTTTTTTCCCCCCTTCCTTTTCCATCATAGAGGAAACAAGTTAAGGGTTTTGCAATTCTGTTAACATAGTGAATATTGAAGCCTCCACAGTAACTGACAATCAAAATCAGATACATCTGCACTTTTCAACTGTGAAGTGTTTTTATATTTTTTCTTGAAAATGTCTAGGATGGTGAACGTTTTAAAGAATATAAAGGAATTAGTTTTAAATATACTACAATTTTTATATTAAAGCACCACAAAAGTGGTGAGGCTGGTGGTGTATGGCTCAGAAATTACATAAAGACAGTTTAAACACTGATCTTCTTTCTCTAGCTAAAAACCTAACTTCTGGCAGTTGCTTGGGAAGTAAATGAGATCAGCTGTTTCATGGAGGGCATGCATTCCCTTATCTTGTGCTTGCTGTGTTCTCTTACAGCCTGAAGAGAATCCATTGCATTCTCCTTGAAATTCTTGATTAGCCATATAAGACAATGTTTGCCAAATTAGTCACACCATAGTATGTTACTAGAATTTTTTTTTTCCATTTCAGGTGTAACCCCAACAATTGAGTTAGGCTTCCAGAAATAATGAAAGCTTCTTACCTCTGCTACTCTTGACAAGTCATCCTGTCAATCCCTCCCCACCTCTACTTCCAACTTCCTCTTCTCAGTTGTGTAATTAACTAGTTTCTGCTGAAAGATCCCCAGTGCTTTAATCACAAATAGTTTTCTTGTCTATAGTGTGTGCTTTTCAGTGTTATTGAAGCTTGGTTTAATTGACATTATGTACTTTCCATTTACTTCTGGGTTCAGAAGATTTGCTAATTATTTAAAATTTACCTTAGAATTAAATATCTTTTAAAAAAGATTTTTGTGTTCACTTAATGTTCAGCCAAGTAACTTCTTAGAGATGTACTTTACTTTGATTAGGCATTAGAATTTTGCATCAGGGCACAGGTACTATAAGAACCTATAGTAAAACAATTAAAAACAAATAAGCAAAAAATGTGTATCTATTTTCATGATTTTTAATATTTTACAATGGTGTAAATTATAAAAAATTAAAGATCTAAGTGTCTTCTCAAGGAAAAAAAATATTGAAAAAAATATTTTGTATTTAAAGATTCCTGCTAATTACGAACATTAGTAATTTGTGTGGAAACTCACATCTTTCATTGTATATTTAATTTTGTTTTGTTTTGCTTGATGGTTTTGTTTTCAATTTTGTGAAGGCCAGGAGGCCACCTTTTTTTTTTAACTTCAAGAAAAAATAAAAATTCCTATATTACTTTTTACAATATTTATGCTTAGGATTCTTGTCAGATTCTACTTTAATTAACTGACTAGTGTTCTAGTGCAAGAAATACAAAACCCTAAAAATCAAAGTTGAAAATCAAAGCCAATTCTGTAAAAGTTAACCTATACACACAGTTCAAAGAGAGAACAATAATATTTATTTCTGATAAAATATATATTTATACTCAAATGGGGATTATCTAAATTTATCCCCTCTTCAATCTCTGAAACAGGCTGCTCTATTATCCACTGAATTCCAAAGAATTGCTTCCCTGTGAACTCTAGTTTCCTGGAATTTTTGCCTCAGGCTAATATTATACCTGGTTGACCATCTGCTAAGATAAAGGTGCAGCTATGTGCACTTTGAGGTACCAGGGGGAGGAAAGCCATTTGACCTTTCCTGTCTGAGGGCTCAGAACTTCATTAAAGAACCTCTTGGGATTGCGACATAGCCATGAGAAAGACACCATTTGTAATTAAGTCCTTCCCACTGGCTATATCCTGGTTGAACTCAATGATTAAAATACAAATCCAATATTCTAAATGGTTACAAAGCATTTGATAAAAGGTTATTTTGCTTTTAATGCAATGGGTGAGATAACTTTCCAAGGGCTTACTTTTTGTGCTCATACTCAGAAAGTGTCCTGCAGACTGACTCTTCAAAGGGCAAACTAAATAATTAGGCAATAAATTGTTCAAATGTTAAAAGCAGAGCTGTTCCAGAAGCTGGTAAGGCCAAAAGAATATCATACGGAGTGATGAATATCCTTGACTCCTAAGAAGGAAGTGCCTGTATGTTCTCATGTTAGATTGGTTTTGGTTTCATTACCTTTATTTGTTATTCTCTCAATACATTTCTTCTGCCCAGAATGCCCAAACTCTTCCTTTATTATTTTCCAATGAATTGTTTATTTCACTATTAATGGGATTCTATTCATTTTGTATGTAATAAGGCCCAGACTCAATGCTATTTCCTTTGCCATGCTTTGATCATCTTAATAGTCAGTATTATGATTGAAAGCACCAATTTGCTCCTTTTATACTGCCTAGGACTTACATTTCTGTTTTCATGTATTTAGTTCTTTCAGCAGGTACACAATAAGCTCTCTGAAGGCAGATATTATATTTTTGGACTTTCAATGTCTAGCACATAGCTGATCAAAAAAAAATGTTTATTGGCTAGGTGCAGTGGTACACTCCTAGGATCTCAGTGGCTCCAGAAGCTGAGGGAAGAGGATCATGAGTTAAAAGCCAGCCACCACAAAAGTGAGGCACTAAGCAACTCAGTGAGATCCTGTCTCTAAATAAAATACAAAATAGGGCTGCAGATATAGCTTATGGTGAGTGGCCTTGAATTAAATCCCTGATACTACCCCCTAAAAAATGTTTATTGCTATTGTTGAAATAAGATTCTTTGTAGTTGGAAGAGAAAACAAAAATAAATGAGAAAAGGTAGTTATTGAATAAGCTACTTCAGAGAGAGTTTTGCATCTAATAGCCAATGGCATAAATAATAAATCATTAAAGGTTGATTAATCATTTTATCATTGTTATTGATCTCATATAATTAAAAGAAACATAATACATATTTTTCTTCTAAGCTTGGCTAATGAGTGATTACATAAATCATAATCAACTAAGATAAAATATTTGCCTCTTATAAGAAACTAGATTGTGGTTAGTGACAAAATAGCGTTATTATCTCAGAATTACAATATCAGTCACCTGAATATAGATTTTTTTTCACTAGCATTTATATAGTTCTTTTAAATTTAAACCAGTCATTTCTATTAGTAAATGTACTCCCCTCTATATTTGCTTCCTGCTCTTTTTTCTTATAACTTTCAGAGAAAAGGTTGTTAAGTCTAATTGGGCTAGAGTGATTTATATCTAGTCTTTCTTAGGGTGAAATGGGTGAATTAGCTAATGCATCAAGGTTGGCACAGGCAACACTACTCAGGAAAGCCTGAAGTATATGGCTTTGATTATTTGTAAGTGAAAGAAAATAGTCTAGAATTCTCATGGAGATAGAGTGAAAGACAAGAATA